TGGCATCCACTTCCTAAACAACATGTCTCCCGAAACTCTATGAACTTTGATAAATGTCAATAGTTGTAGAGGGGCTTCAGGCCTTTTGTTCATAGGATCACTATGAGTTGTGCTCAACCCGAAGGCAATCAACAACAACAACCATCAACAGAAAACTACCAGAAATAGAGCATAGGTTTATAAGAGGCTGTGGCACCAGAGACATTATTGCCAATGTCAAATGGATCTTGGCTGAGAGAGTACCAGATGAATGTCTATCTGAGTTTCATTGACTATTCAAAGGCATTTGACTGGTAAATCACAAAAAATTGTGGCTACTCTTGAGGAGAATGGGAATTCCAAAACACTTGATTGTGCTCATGCAAAACCTATAATTGGACCAGGAAGCAGCTGTCAGAACAGAGCAAGGAAACACTGCATGGTTCAAAATCAGGAAAGGAGTGCATCAGGGATGCATCCTGCCTCCATACCTTTTCAATCTATATATACAACAGATCATTCAGAAGGTTGGAGAAAGTGAGACTGGCTCAGGACATAACAAGGTTCAGAGGTATTGTACATAGAGTTGCTATGAGTCACAGGTGACACGATGGCACCTAACAACAACACAAACACACCCTCTGACTTCTGCTTCAGCGGAAGATGACTGTGGAATGGGTGTTGACTGTGGAATGGGTGTTGACTGTGGATTGAAGTAGAATTAAACCATTGACAACTTCAATCTTTTCTCTATTTACCATGCCTACTGGTCTAGTGGTGAGGATTTTGTTTTCTTGATGTTGACATGTAGTCCATATTGAAGGCTCCAGTTCTTGGTTTTCTTCAGTATTTCAAATCTTCTTCACTTTCTACAAGCAAGATTGTGTCATCTAAATAAAGGAGGTGGCTGTTGAGTCTTCCTCCAATCCTGATGTTATATTCGTCTTCACATAACCCAGCTTCTTGAATAATTTATTTAGACTACATTTTGATTATTCATTGCCATCGAGTCAGAATCAACTCATAGGTGACACTCCAGAAGGTTTGGTTTGCTGGATTTTTATCTTTACAATCATTTTTCCCCCTTGTTGTGTACTGCTGAATCGGATCCGACTGGCACAGGAGGAGATGGCCCCTCCTTCTCCAGCAGAGCACCTGGTGGATTCGAACCGCACTCCTTTAGGATTGTAGCGCAGCTTCTTGCCACTAGGCCAGCAGGGCTCTCTTCCAGAAAGTTTTTGAGGCTACAAATGACACGGATGAATAGTGCTCCTCTTTCTCCTACAGAGTTGCTAGGTGAGCAGAAACTCCCTACAGACTATGCCACAGATCGAACAGGTATGGGGAAAGGACACACGTCAACACAAACATTTCCTGGTTTCACACCATGTAATATCCCCTTGTAATATCCTTCTTGGTTTGTGTACAGTTCTGCACAGCACAATTAAGTGTTCTAGAATTCCAATTCTTCTCAATGTTATTCAGAATTTCTTATGTTACACACATTCGAATGCCTTTGCACCGTCAATAAAACACAATGGATAATCTTTTTTATAGTCTTCATTTTCCATCGATTGGTCTGTGACATTAGCAATGATCTCTCTCATTTCACTGTCTCTTCTGAATCTATCTTGAATTTCTGGTAATTTTTTATCAATGTACTTGCAGCCGATCATCTAAGATACAATATTAGTCTCTTCCTATTTGGAGAAAAGAAAATCAGAGTCAAGCCAGCAAGTCCTCCGTAGCCTCCACTAGTCTGAGAACAGATGGCTGGCTACAACTACAAACCACCAATCAGGGTCACAATAGAAGGTTCTGGATAGAGTATGAGAATAATACGGAACAAATACAAAATTCATAGGAGACATCAGACTTGTTGGTCTGATAGAAACTGGGGAAACTCTTGAGACTATCACTGGAACTGAATCCACTCTTGAAGATCACCAAACAGGTAAATAACAGACAGGCCTATAAAGTAAACAGTAACACCCTCAACGACTGTGCTTCTCAGAACAATCAACCGCATGAAACCAGAAGGGCAGCATATGCCCCAAAACAAAACTTCAGAAGGCTGAAAGGGTCAAAGAGATGGAAATGGGGAACCCAGGAAAGTGAGAATACACTGAATGGTCGCAACTAAATGTGCCTTGTGAATGAGAATTTGTGAATAAATTGTTTAATAGGAAACTAAATTTTTCAGTAACCTTTCACCCAAACCATAATAAAATGTCTTAATTACTCTGTAGATGTTCATTGAAATGAAAAATAAAAAAATCTAAATTTTAAAAAAATGTCTTAATTAATCATCAAATTATAATATGATTATGGGTCCACCAATCAGGAAGCAATCATAGACATGGACTATGTCTTATAAGCATTTACAAATTAATACCCTGCAGTATACCTTATATACTGATGAGGGTTATTTCCTGGGTGATGTGTCAGGGTTCAAGTTACAGAACCTCTGTTGATGCTATTATCACAAGTATTTATAGATTTCTTTATGATACTGCCTCTCCCCTTCAGAGAGTCATTTGATTTTACAGACACATCTCAGCAAAGCATGTGTCACAGATTCCTTTACTCTGAATTATGTTACGGCTTTCCTAAAGTTAAACCAAAACAACTTTGTGCAGGTTCGGTTGTAATCTACCATCTCCTTCTCTTTATATAATTGAGTAGACAGCCAGAAAATTTTGTGCACACTCCCACATCACCTTCACAGAAAGATATGATTATAAGTCATAAAGAGGCCATATGACTCACAGATGAAAATTTCCAAACAAGTATTTAACTCATTATATCTGCACCTAATTAAGAAAATGACTCATCAGCAATCCACGACAATTGTTTTTTTCATCATAGCTTTTGACTTTTTTTCAAGGAAGCATCATTCATTAATTAAATAAGAAAATGATTTGTTATCTACTCTTCGGATAAGGAGTAATGATGGCACAACAGGGTAAGCACTGGACTGCTAACAGAAGGTCAGCAGTTCAAATCCATCAGGCGCTCTGTGGGAGAAAGATGAAGCATTTAGCTTCTTTTAGGATTTACAGCCTCAGAAGCCCTGTACATTATCTCTACCCTGTCCTATAGGGTACTAGTGGATCAAAACAAACTATACAGCGATGGGTTATTTTTAATATTATTTAAACACTACTGTCCTGGGCACTTGATATGTGTCTGAGAGCTGGATAATGAATAAGGATGACAGAAGAAGAATCAATGCCTTTGAGCTGTGGTGTTGGAGAAGACTGCTGAATACCCCATGGGCTGCCAAAAGAAAAGACAGGTAATGTCTTGGAGAAGGTGCAGCCAGAGTGCTCCTTGGAGGCAAGGATGGTGAAGCTTCGTCTCACATGCTTTGGGCATGTTGCTAGGAGAGGCTGGTCCTTGGAGAGGGACATCATGCTTGGGAAGATAGCAAGACAGCGAAAAAAAGAAAGACCCTTAACCAGGTAGATTGACATGGTGACTGCAACAGTGGACTTCAATGTGTCAGAGATTGTGCGGATGGCACAGAATAGGGCAGGATTCAGTCAGGTCTGTTGTTCATGGGGTTGCTACGAATTGTACTCAACTCAATGGCACCTAACAAAAACAACTGTTTTGGTCACAGGAGACCTGGCAGTACAGTGGTTAAGAGCTTGCTTGTTAGCCAAAAGATTGGCAGTTCAAGCCACAATGTGACAGCCTGCTTCTGTAAAGATAACGGCCTCAGAAACCCTAGGCCACAGTTTACTCTGTCCCACGGGGTCACTATGAGTCAGAACAGACTCAGTGGTAATGGGTTAATTTCCTTGGTCACTCAGTGAGAAAAATAGGTATGCCCATCATGGAATCTATAGTAGAGGAAGTAGACATTAAGACAAACACATATTAGAGACTGATAACCTTTTTTTTTTTTAATTTTTCTGGTTGTGTGCCATCGAATCAGATCCGACTGGCACAGGAGACTGCCCCTCCTTCTCCGGAATAGCATCTGGTAGATTCGAACCGCATGCTTTCAGGGTTGGAGCACAGCTTCTTTGCCACCAGGCCACCAGAGCTCTCAATTATCTTTTAAAACTCAACCTTTCAAAAACAAAAAATAATACACAATGCTTTTTGGCTTAAGACTCGATGTTACTGGATACAATGTCTTTTAGGACTTTGGGGGGTGTGCATTTTGTAGTTTTACATAATTATTAGTTGGAGAGGCTGTCTATAAATCACTTCTTTAAATGGAAAGTTAATGCTATTGACTTATCCTTATTAGAAGTGTGCCTTCAGCAATCTTCTCAGCAATTCGTAATACAAGAATGAGCCTGAATCAGTTCATGTCCAGCAGGAACAGATGGCACAGTTAGATTTTTTTTAATGAAGCATTTAATTAAGCAGCTATTTACAAAAATCTGGGTTTTAGAAAATCCACATGTGACACTGCAGAATCCAGGGAAGTCAAAACTCCCAGGCTTAACGTAGCGAAGAGAGAGAATGGTTAATGGGAGGGGGAAAGAGGCCATCTGCTCTGTGGAAGGGGCTACCTGACAAGAGGAACTATGATGTTCGCTTGGGGGAGGGGGAAGACCAGCCAACCCCACGGAAACCACACAGGGGAGAAACAGACAAACGGAAATACTGCGACTCAATTTCCCTCCATTCGTCCAATATTTTACCATTGACCTGGAAGCCCAAGACAAGGGAGTTCTCTGATTTGTGTCTCCAGGTCAGCCTCCCAGAATTCACAACATATTGGAAGGTGCATCCAAAGAAGCAAATCTGTAAAGAATCTGCATCATTCTTCTCATCACAGTCTACATCTGGAATATTTTGACTCAACTTCTCTTACATTTGCTTACCTGGTCAGTTTCTGACCTTACCAGCTTTTAATCCTTTAACTAATTTCTTCTGTGAAACTGAAGACAGTCCTGGGAAGCTGATGGTTATCACAGCTCCACTGAGACTATTAAACCATAATGGAAATAATGGTTGTTACTACCGCTCAGTCAGCCCCCCTCAATTATGGCGACACCATGCACAACGGAAGAAAATGCTGCCTGATCATGCGCCATCCCCAGTTATCAGCTGCCAATGAGAGCATTGAGATGAGTTAGTTTTGTGAACATTTAGTCATTTTGCTTATAATAGAAACTTTACTGTTCTATGAACTATGCCACCAGAGCTCCCTAATAGAAATTCTGCTGTCGTTGTTGTTCGGTGCCATTAACTTGAATACAATTCATAGCAACTGTATGTACAACAGATCTGAATCCTATCCTGTGCCATCCATCCTAATCATTTCTGACACACTCGAGCCCACTGCCGCAGTCATTGTGTCAATCCATCTTTTCCTCTCTTTCACTGACCTTTAACTGACTTTTCCCAGCATGATGTCCCTTCCCAAGGAATAGCCTCTCCTCTAACTACATGCCTCAGATATGTGAAATGAGGCTTCACCATCCTTGCCCCAAGGAGCACTCTGATCACACTCTCCCCAAAGCCTATCTGTTCTTCCGCTTGGAAGTCTATAATTATGTTCAGAACTCCTCTTTTTTTAAAAAAAATATTTCCATTCATTCATTGTTGCACTTTTCTCCCCTCCCAACCCTCCTCCCTAGTACACTATCCTCTTGGAAAAGTTAAAGAAAAATGGTTTCATTGTTTTACAATCCCTCTCCCCAGGTCCATTCCACTTTGCAGCCTTCAACTCTGGACTCCCAGTCATGACAAAAATACCTAATCACATATCCCTTTTAAACAGTTTTCTCCCTCATCTGTTTCAATGCAGTATACATATTGAACCCATCTATCTCAGTCATCTCCCCCCAACCCCAATGTCAGTCCTGTTTTACAACAGTGGCACCATGCAGTATTTGTCCTTTTGTGACTCAGATACTTTACTCAGCATAATGTCCTCCAGGGTCACACATTTTGAATAATATTGCATGAGTTCCTTGTTTTTCAATGCAGCGTATAATTCCATTGTGTGAATATACCACAGTTTCTCTATCCATTTGTTTGTTGATAGGCACTTAGGTTGCTTCCAACTCCTTGCTATTGTGAACAAAGCTGTGATAAACATAAGTGTGCAAGAACTCTTCTCCAACACCACAATTACAAGGCATCGATGATTCTTCTGTCATCCTTAGTCATTGTCCAGATCTCTGGTGCATAGCAAGTAATTGTAAAGGCCATGGGTTGGATCAGGTGTACCTTAGTCTCTAGACTGACATCATTGCTCTTCAGGATTCTGAAGAGGTCCCTGATAGCAGATTTTCCCAATCAAATTCATCTTTTTAGTTCCTGGCTGCTGGTAACAAGCGTTGATTATGAAGTCAAGCAAGCTGAAGCTGTTGACAATCTCAATCTCTTCACCCTCTATCAAGATGTTACCAATTGGCCCGGTGGTGAGAATCTTTGTTTTCTTGATGTTGAGCTTCAATCCATATTGAAGGCTGCAGTCCTTGACATTCTGCAGCAAGCACTTCAGGTCCTCCTCAGTTTCAGCGAGCAGGGTTGTCATCTGCATAACGCAGGCTGCTGATGAATCTCCCTCCAATCCTGATGCCACATTCCTCCTCATAGAGCCCAGCCTCCCGTATTATTTGTTCCACATATAGATTGAAAAGGTATGGAGATAGGACACATCCCTAGCATCCACCGTTCCTGATTTTGAACCATGCAGTGTCTCCCCCCTCTGTCCTGATGACTGCCTCCAGGTCTAAGCATAGGTTTCACATAAGCAGAATCAAGTGTTCTGTGATTCCCATTCTTCTCATTTAGACTTCACAACATTTGCACTGGAACCGAATGTGGCCTTTCTCTGGCTTAGTTCCAGCCTAGCTCGATAGTGATTTCATTGGCTGATTTGCAGAAAGTAGATCACCAGGCCTTTCTTCCTGGGTCAGGACTGTCTGAATCTGGAGCTCTGATGAAACTGGTGCAGCATGATAGCATTGTCACGGCTTCTTACTTGTGACTTCTGGCTTGCTTCCTCCCTCATTCCTTTGACAATGATGTTTTCATCTGATCTGAATAATCTTGTCTGATTCAGCATGCTCCCCGGAACAGTATTTGACCAAAGATCTTCATAATGAGTGCCCTCCAGTGCTTTGCTCTTGTGAGTAACATCTGGATGTGACACTTATTTGTTATGAGCCAAGTCATCACACGCCTGATTACCTCCATCCTATCACATCCCTTGCCTAGCACCTGTACCCATTAATCGACTGGGATCATGGAGAATAAAGACATCGGCCTCCAAACAACCAGGTTCCAAGGCTACTTCCTCAGAAGAAGAATGAAAATGATTGGGAGACTATAACAACATGAAGAACTAGTATTTCCTGCCTAACATGATGATGAAATTTGAGGGGGAGGGAAAAAAAACCAAACCCAAACCACAACTCAGGGTAATACAGAGTTGTGGCATGCATGGGAGAGATCAACTCCAGCTGCAGTATGGTAGTTACCTCTGGCTCAAATGAAACTAAACTTGCTGCCATCCAATCAGTTCTGACTCACAGCAATCCTCCATGTGGTGTCCAAAACATTGGTAGTTAAGTGGTAGGGAGTTGTGCTGCCAGGCCAAAGGCACTCAGATACTTCACTCAGCATAATGTCCTCCAGGATCACCCATTTTTAATAATATTTTATGAGTTCCTTGCTTTTCAATGCAGCGTAGTATTCCATTGTGTGAATATACCACAGCTTCTCTATCCATTCATTTGTTGATGGGCACCTGGGTTGTTTCCAACTCCTTGCTATTGTGAAAAAAGCCGCAATAAACATGGGTGTGCATATATCTGCTTGGATGTTGGTTATGGTCTCTTTAGGGTATATTCCCAGTAGTGGAACTGCTGGGTCAAATGGTATCTCTATTTGCAACTTTTTGAGAAAGCACCATACCGCCTTCCACAGTGGTTGCACCATTTTACACTCCCACCAACAGTGAGTAAGGGTTCCAGTTTCTCTACAACCTCGCCAGTATTTGTTGCTTGATATTCTGTTAAATTTTGTTATTCTTACTGGGGTGAGATGATATCTCATAGTTGTTTTGATTTGCATCTCTCTTAGAGCTAGGGATTTTGAACATTTCTTCATGTGTTTGTTAGCCATCTGAATGTCTTCTTTGGTGAACTGTGCAACTCTTTTTTTCTATTTTTTTTTTGAGCCACGGGTGGGTTTTAATTATACTGACACCTGCCGTAGGTGCAAGTGCAACTCTTTTTTTAAGAAAGGAGAAATTTTGTTTCCTCTAAGAAGCTTCTGCATATAACCATTTAATTGGAATCTCTCAAGATGAATTTGAGACTTGTTCCCCACTGAGAGGCTCAAAACAATTTCTCTTCACTCAAGCCATCACTACTTAAGAAAAGTCTCTATCTTTATTGAAGGGACATGGGAAATCTCTGACTGGAGTATTCAAAACCTACCCAGAACCAACCACACAAATTCTATCAGGTCATGACTGAGCCACTCACACCATAAGACGGGCCAATTCAACAACTATCATAATCTTCTCATGGCCAGGAGATAGCCTATATTTTGCCTGTATCTCAAGAGATGCCATAAGTAAGCATGACAGCACGCACCCATATCCTTGCAAAGGCCTTGGCTTGTAACACCTCCCAAAGCAGCCAGATCCAGGCCAGTTTTTACGGTTAAACACTGTCCCTTAGATACCAGCTCAACTCAGGTCTCCTCAGAAGGGAGGCCTCTCTGGAGACCAGGGTATGGGCACCACTTCCCTCAAAACACAATGACACTGGCTTCTCATCAGCTGAGAACGCACCCATGCCTCAGTTCACAGTGCATACATTTGCCAAGGTTTGAGAACTTCTCAAGAGAGACTAGGACCATACACAGACCCCACCTAATGACAATGAAGGTCAGTTCAAAGCTCTGATGTGTACACTTGCGCCCCCTCCCGCCAAAAAAATGTTCCCAAAGTATACCTAGGGCCAAACCCTGCTGAGTATTCCTCAGGGTTACCCCTCTAAGAGAGAGGAACCATGCCCATGCCTCCTCCATCAAAACTGGGTCCTGACGGGGTTGTAATTTAGGCCAAGGCCTCCTTCAGTTGCCTATGCTCAAAAAGGCAGAGGAAGGACTGTTTGAGATGGATGGCCCTCTCCAGCCGTTACCCAAGGTGCCCAACTGTCCCAGTGTGCATGAGATTGTTCAGGTTAGAAAATGAAAGTCTTGTTTCCTGGGAAAGGTCGCAGTCTCAGACAAGCCAGGATAGTTGGGCACCCTGAAGCCACCCCCAGGCCCATGAAGGAACTGTTGCCACAAGTGCTCAACCAGCCTGGTCCAAGAGACAAAGCTGCAGGCAGGGACCCGGAGACCCTCAGTGTTCAGAAGCCACCCTGCACATAGGCCTGACAGCGTCTACCACAGCTGGGTGTGTCCCCACCCCCACGAGCCTCTGGTACCACTTCTCTCTCTTCTGCTTGCCAAATTATCTTTACTAACAGCAAGCGCTCAAGGGCCTCTCATGGTGCCTCTCGACTGATCCAATACACATTTAAAAAAAAAATCCTGAATGTTTTAATAGACCTGTTAATAGATGTCATAGACCCAATACATATTTATGGAGCCTTTATGGGGGTTGATAGAGGTGGCCCTTGTGGCCACTTGCCCAGAGCAGACAAAACTGGCTTGACAGCCTCTCTTTCCTGCTTTCTGCAACAGCTTTTCCTTCCGCCACCTGCCATCTTGTTTCCTGGAAATTCCTGGGCTCTTAGGAATCCTATGTTTGTGCCCTAGCCACTCTCAACTTCCAAATACATAACCATAGAGTTCAAGAGGCAACAAGCATGTATCTCTGTGAACAACTAACTACCTTCACTGCCGCAAGATCAGAAGAACTGAACGGCACTGACTACCATTACTGGATGTTTTGATCAACAAGAGCCCATAAAGAATCCTGATCAAAAGGGGGGAAATTCACAATAGAATTTCAAAATCTCATGGGATCCAGATGTATGGAGCCAAGGAGGCTGAAACTCTTGCCTCAAACTCTTACCCTGAGATAGCCTTTAAACCTTACACCAAAGATATTTTCTAAAGTCTTCTTAAAACCAAACAATTGTCTAGCTTAACTA